TGCTCAGTGTAGGAGTGCTCAGTGTAGGGTGCTCAGTGTAGGAGTGCTCAGTGTAGGAGTCCTCAGTGTAGGGTGCTCAGTGTAAGGTGCTCAGTGTAGCCGCACTGTGAAGTGGGCTGGTTTGTGTCTTCCCACTCTAGTCTCTAGGTAACTGGCTTTAAATTCTGCTGTATTTGTGGGACTAGCTTCAAACTCTGACCTTTTATCAGCCCTGAAATGGCTCTGAATACAAATCTAGATGAAGTTTCTGTTTTGTTTTTTTCTCCCATTGGTGTGCTGTTTCAGCCACACCCCTTTCTGGAGGATTCCTTGAATCTTCTGCTCTTGTCTGCTGTTGAGAGTTGAGTCAGCACTGCCCCCTTCTCAACTACATCACCCTTTTCTTTTTATCGACTTATTTTTAAGATTTTTCCTCCTGCATGTGTGTCTGTGCACCGTGTGCCTGCAGGGCCTGCAGAAGCCAGTAGACAGCACATGATCCCTGATCTGGAGTTACAGACAGTTGTGAGCTGCCATGTGGGTGCCAGGAATAGAACCCATGCCTTCTGGAAGAGCAGCCAGTGTTCTTAACCACTGATCCATCTCTCCAGCTCATATATTTCTTTCTTTAAGTCAGAACTGCAGATTTTCTGTCCATCCCTCTTCTTGTTTTATTTTTCCCACTCCATATCTGGGCCACAAAGAAAATCCCTGAGTCTCTTTAATACGTAAATTTAACTGTTGTATTTGTATGTATGCTCATATAAATAAATCTATGAAATTGTAAGTTCTTGTGAAAATGTTTATTCCTGAGTATTTTTCTTGTAGTAGCTAGTGCAGCATTTGAGAGTACTTTTGCAAGTACCTGTTGGCTAACTGATACTTCTTCTTCATCAAGGTCTCTCAGCATTTGATCCGTCCTCTGATGGGTATGAGCCTGGCACTGCAGTGTCATGGGAAGGAGCTAGCAACATTGCTTCGGAAGAAGGACCTAGAGATCCAGGCCTACCAGGAGAGTGGGGCTGTGCTGAGCCGAAGTAAGAGGGCATTCTTGGAGGGATGGGTGGGGAGTAGTGGTCTTAGCAGGTAGTCTAAGGGTCTTAGAAAAAGGCGAGTATAATTTGCATTAAAAATACTTCTTGAGCTAGAGTTGTGGATCAGTTGGGTGGGTGGGTGCTTAGCATACACCAACTCCTGGGTTTGATCCTTAGAACTGCATAAATGGGAGTATTGATATACACATATGATCCCAGCACTCAAGACTTAGGGGCAGGAAGTTATCCTTGGCTACACAGTAAGCTCAAAGCTAGCCTGGGGTACATTAGACCTTGTCTCAAAACAAAACAAAAAGCCCCAAACAACAGACAAAATTTTCTCTCCAAGGATAGGTGCTAGGAACTTTAGCAGCTGAGGACTCAATACTGGATATCCCTTCTGTCTGCCTCAGGTACCTGGCTGGGGCCCATGTGGCCAGCAGAAGCCAAAACCAAGTCCAGACGTGTCCTAGACAATGGGGGGGAAAGACTTTGGAAGGGGGTCAACAGCTCTCCAAAACTGTATTAGCAGGATGTGGGCTCCAGTGCTGAGGTCCCTCTATAGTTCTAGTTTCAGAATAAAAGTTCTGTACCTCCTGTGTCACTATGGCAGGAGAATCTTCTAGAGCGAATGCCACTGCTGACCCACTGCTGCTAATTGCCCCGATTTCCCCGTTTGTGTTCCTACCCTCAACCCTTCTTCTCTCTCCAGCCTAGGGTCCTATGGTGTCAGGTCTCTGACTTCTTTTCCTAGAAGTCCTGGGCTCTCTTCCCTGTCATCTGATAGGTATGAAGCTCATCCTTAGGTTTATGTTTCCTTTCTCTATCTCCTCTTAATTACAGGTCGATTGAAGACAGAGCCATTTGAAGAAAATTCTTTCTTGGAACAGTTTATGGTAGAGGTAGGGTGTTTGTTATTTCCCTTCTCCTTTCACAAATTTGGGCAGAGTGCCTGGGTGGCAACCTGCATTTGGGGCGTTAGGTGGCTTGTGTGGTTGGAAAGCCCTTTGCCTGAAAAAGTTGCCGGTGGAAAGTTTGATGAAGCTTGCGATGTGTGTAGAGGAGGTGGGGGGAAGAGTGAGGAGGCACAAGTGGGCTTTTCCCACCCACCACTCTGTTGAGGTGGCACGCGGGGTGTCATTTAGCATTCTTTAACGCTGGGAAGGTTGGTTGGTCTGTTGGTTGAGACCCGGGTTGTGTAGTAGAAGGGTGGCTGTTCGTTCATCCATTGTCTGGTCCCGTTAGCATCCAGCAGTAGAGGAAGGGGTAAGAAGCTCAGGGCTACCATCTGGGGACTGTCTTGTGGGCACAGCAGGCTGTGGAAAATCACAGTGTTTATCCAAGGGGCTGGCACAGGAATGAATGGGGAGTAGATAATTGTGGCCTGTCAGAAGCTTCTGCCGAGGTTCCCTTCTAAGGATTGAGCTTGGCCAAAAGAAATAGCCACTGAATGCCAAACAGTGGGAGTATTAATAGTGACCTTTGATAATACCAGTCAATATTGGTCTTTCCCTTCTCGACTCTTCTGGAACTCGTTGGTCATGTGGGTAGTACCTTAGTATTGTTGCTCCATTTTAAATTCATACATGTTAGCTACCCACATTGCTGCTTTATGATGAAAGTCGACAGTGCTTTTATAGTATTGAAATGGACGGTTCATGTTTCTGTTTTGCCAGCTAGACTAATTGTAAGCTTTCCATGGACAAAGTCTGTGTGTCATACCTTTTCTGAATGGGGAAGTTAGCATTCTTTTCCCCACCGGGAGAGGCATAGAGCGAATGTTCTTGACTGAGAACCTTCCATTCTTCCTCTGAACCTTGGCTGAGCTTTCATACCCAGAGTCTTAACATCAAGAGAAAAAAGTGTGTGGTGCGTGCTCCACCCTTGGACTGGAGCACTCACACTCCGCAGGAGGAAGAGTCACTCATGTTGAAGTCTTAGGCTTAACAGGTGTCAAAATGTTTTATTTATTATTATTATTATTTATTATTATTATTATTATTATTATTATTATTATTATTAGTGTGTGTGTGTGTGTGTGTGTGTGTGTGTGTGTGAATGGTGTGCATGAGGTGGGGACACACACGCCACAGCTTTCAGAAGTCGCTTCTCTCCTTACAGTGTGGTTTCCTGGGATTGTGTGGCAAGTGCTTTTACCTAGTGAACCATTTTGCTGGCCCCAGGTGTTAATTTTTGTGGGGGAAAAAGAGATTATTAAACTAGAACTTGTAAGAGATTCTCTAGGCCACTTTTCTCTCAGTGACTTCTTCGCTCTGTTAATCTGAACATGAGAGGAGGTTAATGTAGTCCAGGGATGACATGCTAGCTCCGTCCCTCAGCTACTTAGTGAAGCCGTGCAAGGCTAATTCTCCTGCCTCATCCCTCTCCAGCTTGACTTCTACACACTTACTCCATGTGCGTCTGTACCAGCTGGATGGGATGACTTTAATTTTCCCAAGTGCTGTCTTCGCTTGCCTGTGTCTGTGTGTATGTTCTTCCCTTTCTCAGGAATGCCCATGCCTTCTCCTTATCTATCTGTAAATGACTACCCATTTTTCCTTTCCTTTGGTTATTTGAGACAGGGTTTCTCTGTGTAGCCATGGCTGTCCTGGAACTCACTCTGTAGACCAGGATGGCCTTGAACTCACAGAGATCCGCCTGCCTCTGCCTCCCCTGTGCTGGGGTTAAAGGTGTGCATCTCCACTGCCTGGCTCTATTCATCTTTTCAAGCATTAGCTTCGGCTTCTTGGGAAGCCTTTCTAGACCTTCCTTGGAAGAGTAATCCTTCCCCGCTATTAGAGTGCTATGGCCTACATCTCTACCACTCACTGTTTATATGTGGTCTGAAGACTACAGCGCTCTTTTGCACTGACCTGTAAACAGTTCTGAGACCAAGGACTGGATGACAGCATTTCTATATCCTTCACATGGATGGTAGTGGCTAGAAGTAGGAGGACCTTGATAAGTTTTCTGAATAAATATTTTAAGACATTTGTGCCAAGGATCTTGTGAAAATTGTGGCAATGTGTCCCATGGATACAGTGTTGCTTATTAGAGTTGTATTGGAGGAAGTCTGTTATTCTCAAGGTTTATTTTTATAGCCTGGAACAAATCACTTCCCTCAGAACCACTATTATCTCATTTGTAAAATTGAAGGCTCCTCTTTTTCATGCTGTCATGGAAGAGAGAGCCCTGTAGAATGGTATGAGAAAGCATGTAGAATCAGGTGCCATCCCAAGAGGGTGTGTGTGTATGTGTGTGTGTGTGTGTGTGTGTGTGTGTGTGTGTTTGTGTGTGTGTATGTGTATGTGTGTGTGTGTATGTGTGTATGTGTGTGTGTGTATGTGTGTGATGTGTGTGTGTAATAAAAGTTGCTCTGGTGAGGTACCACAAGCCTGCAGTTCCAGTTCTTAGGAAGCTAAGGTAGGGCCATGAGTTAGAGGCAAGCCTGGGCAACATGGTGGGTTTAAGGCCAGTCCTGGCTACATGGAACCAACCTATGCTTAAAAAATAATAATAAAGAAGGGCCAGAGGGATAGCTCAGTGGGCAAAAGCCCTTGCCACCAAGCCTGTCGGCCTGCCTTCAAACTCCGGACTGTTCATCCTGAGATGAATGAAAGAGTCCTCAGGTGGTAGGAGAGAACCAGCTCCTGCACACACACACACACACACACACACACACACACACACACACACACACACACACACACACACAAGCACACACTAATAAAAAATAGCAAATGGCTGGGCGGTGGTGGCTCATGCCTTTAATCCCAGCACTTGGGAGGCAGGGGCAGGCTGATCTCTGTGAGTTTGAGGCCAGCCTGGTCTACAGAGTAATTTCCAGGACAGGCACCAAAACTACACAGAGAAACCCTGTCTCAAAAAACCAAAACCAAAACCAAACCAACCAACCAAACAAAACAAAAACAAATGAATACAATTTTTAAACACCAAGCTTTTAAAGAACAGAAGGCACCGGGATGGTGGCGGCGGCGGTGCATGCCCTTAATCCTAGCACTGGGGAAGCAGAGGCAGGTAGATCTCTGAGTTCGAGGCCAGCCTCATCTACAGAGTGAGTTGCAGGATAGCCAGGACCACACAGAGAAACCCTGTCTTGAAAAAAACAAACAACAAAGAAAAAAATAGAAGGCTACAGCCACCTGTCTCTCAGATGTTTTTCGTTTATATTTTTAAGTTGGTGAGGCTTGGCTCATCCACTCAGATCCCAGAGGACCAGAAATTGAAGTAGCTGCTTCCAAAACACAGCACCCAAGTCAGGTGTGTGGCTCAAGCCTGTAAAATCCTAGACATAAGGAGGCTGAGGCAGCAAGATTACCAGGAGTTTTAGGCCACACTGAGCTACAAAGTGAGTACCAAGCATCTTCAATAGCAAGACCCTGTAAAACAAAATAGTGTGTGTGTGTGTGTGTGTGTGTGTGTGTGTGTGTGTGTGTGTGTGCAGGTCAGAGGATTTGTAGGAGTCATTTCCCTCCTTCCACCATGTAGGTTCTGAGGTCGTCAGGTTTGGTGGCAGCTCTTTTGCTCTCTGAGCCATCTCACCAGTCTCAGATTTCTGTTTTGAAATCTGAAGTCTGTACGCCCAAGGCCGTCTCCGTCCATCGCTGTTGTATCTCACCAATCTCATTGTACGCACCAGTGAAGGGAACCATGAACGCTGCTAGGGTGATGAGGATGCTTGTGACCTCTGGGGCGCCTGTGCTATCTTCAGAACGTCCCGTAGAGCTGCTAGAGCGGAAAGGAGTGATACTGGGGCTGTGCAGCTCCAGCATCTTTTCAGTTACTGTGCTTGCCTGGGGTCCTATAAACAGGACATAGAGGGGTCAGGAGGTCACCTGAGACTGGACTGAAAGGATGTGCCATCAAAATAAGCAACACTGAATAGAAAATAAACAAACCAGGGAGACACTTTGGGATGAACAGGCAAGGAGGCCAGGCTAGTGTCAGAGGGCCATTCGGTCAATGCCTGGGGCCACTTCTGTTCCCATTGGAAATACTGCTAGGCACAAGGCCATAGACTCCTAGAGCACAGGGCAGGAGGGCAGGGAGAGTTCTGGGATACCAAAGCTAGAGAAGGTATTTAGCCATTGGACGGGGTTACTTCCCCATATTTGATCTTTTTGTTTAAATTTTCCCTAAGAAACTCTGATGTAGCCAGGTGCACACCTTTAACCTCAGCACTCAGGAGGCAGAAGCAGGCAGATCTCTTGGAGTTCAAGAGAGGTCTTCATGGCTGGTTCCAGGCTAGACAGGGCTACATAGAGACACTATATAAAAACAAAACAAACAAACAAACAATCCAACAAACAAACCCCCAAAAATCCCCAACAACCAAACAAAGAAATACAACAACGAAAAATAAATCTCTAATTTTTCACTTCCAGAGAACCTGTGGACACTAACTAACCCCTACTAAAGGGGAAATTTGCTATGTAGATCAGGCTGGCCTGGAACTCCCAGAGATCTGCCTGCTTCTGCCTCCTGAGTGCTGGGGTTGAAGGCGTGCACCTGGCTACATCAGAGTTTCTCAAGGCAAGAATTAAAGCAAAAAGATGGGGAAGTAACCCCTGTCCAATGGTTAAATATCTTCTTTAGCTTCGACATCCTGGAACTCTCTCAAGTAATGTTGATAGTTCAGGGCTGGGTATGGTGTCTCTTGGGTAATCCTTCCATAGACTAAGATCCCCCAAATACAGCCCAAGACTAGAGGCTGAGGGGCATCTTTAGGAGCGGAAGAAAAGCTGAGCAATCGGAGACTGTTATACATGGCAATGTGACTATGTTAAAGATAGCATTTAGAGCGAATGGGCTGGTGTGGCCCCTTGCAGGCTGTTCTGCTGGAGGAGTTCCTTCCCCTGGCCCTGTCCATGTCCTTTTCTCT